CGTCCAATCGCAAAAAGCCAGTTCTCGAATAATATACTCGTCTCGGGAAAGGGCAAACCCCTGACTGTACACCAAGAGACCCACTTGATGGAGCGCCATGCTTACCGTTTCAATTGGACTGCGATGAATGAGAGGGGTCTTGGACGCCTCGCTGGTTTTATAGTCACTGGGATGGTCGCTGATTGGTGGACCAACCGATCACACCACCCTCACGAGATCCCAAGCAGAGGTCGGATTGGTGGAGACCCAGATCGTATGAGCATCACGAGATGCCAGAAGAGGGGCTATAAAAGGCGGGGCCAGATGCTCCCTTGAAGTCATTCGTCCAGATGGATCGTCAAGCCACTCAACCTGCCGCCGTGCCTTCGGGACGCAAACGACGTCGCGTCAGTAAGAAACAAAAACAAGAGGAGGAGGAGGAAGCTCAAGCGCGAGCCCTGCAGATGAAAGCGGATCATGATCAGGAGATGGCCGAGCTCGGTTTTTCCCGAGCTGAACTCTTGGAGATGAAAGCCAAACAACCCCCTACCAATGAACTCGTGGTGGCTCTCGACGCCCTGCCTAAAGCGGCTGACCCGACGCCCGTACCCACACCTTCCCCCACAGACCAATCCGTGAACGAATTGATGGAAGGCACCCTGAAAGAGTATGAAGAAGAATGTGTAGAGGAAGGGACGTTTCAGTCGGATCCAGCCACCGAAGTGGGGGAATGGGACATCCAGGACATAGACCAGATGGATACCCAGTTGAACCGACTCCTGTATGAAACGTGCCCGTTTCATCCCCATCAGTTCCTAGAATGTGTCAATCCCCAAGCCAGTTTTGGTCCCTTAAGGTTCAAGTGTTCAAGTGTCCGGTGTCCGGTCTATTTGTTTGAAGACACGCGAGAGGTGATGCTGGAGGCTTTGAAAAAAGACACGCATCCTCAAGTCCAGGCCCGTTTGAAACGCGGAGAGCTCAGGTGCAAATGTGGGTTTGTCCCCAAGATGAAATTGAGTCGCACCGCCAAGAATCACAACAAAGTGTTTTTCAGTTGTGGGAACTTTGTCCCTGGGAGAGAACCCTGTGGCTACTTTCAATGGCTCCATGGTCCCTTGTGGTGTCCCCGAGAGCAAGCGCAACCTACCCTGAGACGATGGGTGAAAGACACACCCCCTGAGCTCCAATACAGGCTCCAACACAAGCTTATGAAAGACCCCGAGAAGGAGAGACCCTGGGGAATGCACCCTGTAGAGATGCGTTATGGTGAGAGGCCAGACCCAGCCATAGAAAAGATAAAGCATGATCCGTGGATGAAACAGTTTGGCGAGTCTGTCAAAGCCCAGGAGAACGCGTTTGAGAGAAGACGCCATTTCCATAAGAACTTTGGGAGCTCGGTCTTGTTTTGAAAAAATCATGTAAGGTGTATGTGAAAAAAAACTATTAAAGACAGAATTGGGCTCAGAACATGTGTCAGTGTCTTGATGTCGTTGCCACGCGCTTACGAAGATCCCCAAGAACCTGGGGCCTTGGGTGGAGTCCAACCCTTTGCCCGAGCCCATAAATTGAAAACCCCGCAAGCGCAACGCATTCTTCAATCCGTGTTGAGCTATACGCTCCACAAACCCCGACGAACCCGGTTTCCCACCACCCCCACGTTGGTCTTTGGCCGAGACGAACAATGGCAGATGGATTTAGTGGATATGCAAAAACTCAGTCGGTGGAACCAAGGGAACAAATATTTGTTAACGGTCATCGACGTCTTGTCCAAGTATGCCTGGGCCGTCCCCATCAAATCCAAGAGTGCCACCAACATGATCAAAGGGTTGGAAGCGATACGCCGACGAGCTGCACCACGACGACCCCTCCGTGTACAAACAGATCAAGGCCAAGAATTTTTGAATCGCAAGGTCCAAGCCTGGTTCAAGAAACACGATTGGCATTTTTTTAACACCTATGGAGATAGCAAGGCCTCGGTGGTGGAACGATGGCATCGCACCTTGAAACAACGGATGTACCGGTATTTCACGGCGCACAATACGTTACGGTACGTGGACGTGTTGCAACCCTTGATTCATACGTACAATCACGCCTATCATCGCAGTATTGGGTTAGCGCCACATCAAGTCACCTTTCGAAACGAGTCCGAGGTATGGGATCGACTCTATGGAGCACGGTTGAAGCCCAAGATCCCTCCGCCCAAATGTCGCGTGGGCGATCGGGTACGTCTCAACAAGAAACATCGCCCTTTTAAAAAAGGGTATTTGCCGGGCTGGACAGAAGAAGTGTTTGTGGTCACGCACGTGCGTCGTCATCCCGTGGTCACCTATCGACTTAGTGAATGGGACGGTACGCCTATAAAAGGCACGTTTTACGAACCCGATGTCCAAAAAGTCCAAGTGTCGGACGATTCGTTGTTTCGAATCGAAAAAGTCTTGAAACGCCAAGGACGTCAAATCTTGGTCCGGTGGAAAGGGTGGCCGGCCAAGTACGATAGTTGGATTCCCGCGCAACATGGTTCGCGTCAAAATAACGCCTCGAAAAAGAAAAAAGCGGGTACGGTTTCTCGATGAAGTCCTGGCGGATTCCAGTCGACCGCGGGCCAGTTACACACCTTCTCCCACCACAGACGCGGACGTCCTGAAATTCATCCAGAAGAAAGCCGCCGAACAACGGCAAACCCAACCGTGGTGGGAAAAGTTGGCCAGCCCTACCAAGCAACAATGGGCCTACGCCAATGCCTACCATCGAGCTGAAGAGTATGCCAAGAAACGAGGGGCTCTACGGTCCCCACCCAAGAAAAAACAACAACGCCGACGGGCTGGACGTCATCCACCTATGCGCAAGAAGAAACCCCCTAAACCCAAGACCTGTATGACCCTGATGGAACTGGCCCGGGCCTTTCCCAACATTGCCCAGCAAGTGTGTTTTCATCCCAAACAATCGACCTTCAATTCGTTGGTGGGACGTGTCCCTCGCAGTAAACAGAAAGTGAACCAGTGGCTATAAAAGGACCCTGCACCCTTGGGGACGTGCCTCTTCTTCATCATCATGAGTGAGATTAAACGCTTGACGCTCATCAGCGATCCGACCGACGAGTTTCCCAACAATGCCAACAACAGTTTCAAGGTCCGTCTGCCCGAACGAATGGTTTTACCGGGCGAAGGCTGGCATGCCTCATTGATGTCCCTGACCGTGCCGGATCAAGGCCAAAGCAATGCCATCATCGCCGCGGATCCTCATACCAAAGTGATCAAATTCAAAATGAGCTATGTGATCCGCAAATGGGTGACGGGGATGTACCGATTCGCCGAGGTGAAAACCGTGGACTGCGTGTTGGAATTGGAAGAGATCATGAACGCGAGTCAAATCGTGGCGACGGGGAGTCAGTTTTGGAAACGCGTGATGCAAGAAACGTACAACAAAATCATGCACAATGTGATGGCGGAACAAATACGGTGGCTGATCCTCGAACCTAACCAAAAACCTATTGTCAGCGCCAAACAAAACGCCATGCCCCGACTGACCTGGAAAAAAGGTGCCTTGGTGATTAAGGCCCTTCCCCAAAATGATTTGATTAAGGTCCTTTCCCAATCGAACAAGAAAACCATCACTGAGTTTTTCATCAACCTGGACATTGCGCTCAAGTTTGGGTTGGTGGTGGAAAGGAAAGTCAAAAACGAGACAAAGTATTTCCTAGGGCCCAATCTGCAATATACTCTGCCGACGGCCACCTATGATTCGGACACTCCACCCAAAGGGAACTCCGATCGCACGCCCTACAACTGGGAAGGTACGCAGTACATGGCCATCAATCCCAGGTTACTGTTTGGCGATATTACAGCCAGTCTTGAACATGATCCCCTGCAAGTGGTGACCCAACAGGGTGTGAAGTTTTTGCAATTGTCTATGGCAGTGGAATGGCAGTTGAACAACCTGGATGCCTCCTTTGAAAAGATCGTGGGGACTCGCAAACGTACGGTCATGGTCTATTCGGATCTCGTCGAATCCACCGTGGTGGGCAGTGGTAAGTTTCCCCTGTTGCGGGAAGTGCAATTGTTGAGAACGGGGGATGGGGAAAATACGGCGGAACCCCTGCACCACCAATGGATCAAAGTGCGAGGAAATCAACTAGAGATCATGGAAGTGGAGATTGCCAGTACCAGTGGACCCCTGGCCATTTTACCCCCGGGCAAAACCCTGGTGACCATTGGTCTCAAACAGCTATAAAAAGCCACTCCACGTGTTTTGGAGAATCAAAAAGCACCACGACGTGAACCATGCGCGGAGGCAGTTTAACGCGGTACCACACGCCCGTGCTCACCAAGCAAGAGGGGAAAGGCTTGGCCGAAGACTTGATCAAACTGGCAGGTCCCCTGATCGTGCAACAAGCGCAAGCGGGATTGCAAGATATTCAACGTGGCAAGAGTGCCGCGGCCACCTGGGCGGATCGAAGTGCTCAACTCAGTCGCGGATTGAAACGCAAAGCCCCCGCCATGGCTTGGACGGCGGGGAAACACAAAGTCAAACGGACCGCCCAAAATACCTATAAAAGAGCCACGCAACGCGTACGGGATATCTTTGGACTGTAAAAAATGGTACGTGTAGGAGGCTTTCTCAAATCGCAAAATCGTATTCGACGGCAACGTGCCCGTGGACGGTTCATTTCACCGTATCAAGTGGGGGGCACGATCTTTGGCAAGTCGACCATGGCACGCTATCCCTTGATGCACACGACGCATCGGATCAACCCCGAACCCTGGAGGGTGAAGCAAGCCCTGCGTCGCATGAAAGGGGGCACGATTTTTGGCAAGTTTACTCGCAGGCGTCAAAATCCTTTGGGGTTTCCGTCTGCGTACCGGGAGGACCCCAACGAATGGGCGTTGAAAATGGCTCGACAACATTACAAGATGAAAGGGGGGGATCTCAGAAAGGTGTTGTGGGCCAATCAAGCCAAAGCCCGGAGACAGCGACAGGGTATAAAAAGGAGACGCCGTTGAACCACCTGGACAGATTGCAGCATGTCGCTCGAACTCTTTGACGTGCCCGATGTGGATTATCGGTACGAAGCCTCTCGGGAGGTGGAGTTTCAACCCGCCTTGACGGGCATCCAACCCATCACCTTCTCCATTCCAGGCTCCGACGATTATTACGATACCAATTCTCTCCGCTTCAAAGTCAAAGTGCGCCTGACCAATCCAGCAGCTGGGTATACAGGACTGGATGCTGGTCTGCTCATTTCCGATGCCAACGAAAGCAGACATGTCTACTGCGTCAACAATTTCGGTCACACCATCTTTCGAGATATGACCCTGAGCATGAATGGCGTCCTCATGACCGAACAGAGCAACACCTACCATTACAGAGCCTACCTAGAAACCCTACTGAATTACAACCGAGAGGAAGGAGCCACCAAGCTAGCCCCCCAAGGATGGGTTAATCAGCTCAATGTGATTGCAGAAATGGGAGCCACAGCCGCCAATTCCGATGTCCCTGTTGCCGCGAATTGGAGTGGGAATACAGAATTGCGAGCCCTGACCAGCCGGTTGCTAGAAGAACATTGGCACACCTTCATCGTGCGTCCCCATTTGCCACCCCTCAAGACAGGCAAATTGTTGGTTCCCAATATCCAGATGGACATTGAGCTCTTGACTACCAAGAAATTTCCAGCCATTCATAATGACGACATCAAAGTCACCTTGTTGATGAGAAAAGTGACCCTGAATGCCAGTGTCTATGTCAGACTGCAGAAAGAAAGACAGCTGGGCAAACAGATTGCCCGCTACCCTGTCGTACGGAGTGAAATTCGCACGTTTTCCTTTGATGGACGCACCACCCAGTGGGAACAAGACAATGTGTTTGTAGGTCGATTTCCTGACCGAGTGATGGTGGGGTTATTGCATTCCAACACCTTCAATGGAGACCTACAAAGATACCCTTTTGCCTTTGAAAAGTTTGGGGTCACCCAAGTACGACAGACCTTGAATGGAGAAGAATACCCTTACAGAACCCTGCAATTGACAGGAGGAGAAGCCTATGAAGATTTGCTGGGCTACGATCGATTTTTGCAAGCCATGGGGGCCTACAATGAAGACAAGATTCCTATGCTGCTGCCTAGTGATTGGGGACAAGGCAACAACTGCACGTTGTTCATGTTCAACAATGTGCCCAGTGGCAAAGCCGATGATCCTCAGTATCGCAACCCCCGCCAATCAGGCAATACGCGATTGATCATTGATTTTGCCGCGGCTGTGGGTCATAACGTCACCGTGATGGTATGGAGCGAGTATGAAAATATGTATGAGATCAATCATATGGGAGGTATAAAGTACAACATCAACGGCTGAAGTGGCTTCAGAAGTCAGAAGACACCGGTCATGGAGTTTGTGGCGCTCAGTGATACTGTGTTGCGGACCCTGGCCCTGGAAGATCCCACCTTACGACGCGTGTTTCATGGGGTGCACCCAGCCGACCAGCTCCCCCGATCCCCCGCCAAGGAGATCCGTCAAGCGTACATTGTCAACACCGATCCAGCGGGAGAACCGGGCCAGCATTGGTTGGGTCTGTGGACCGAAAAGAACCAGTGCGAGGTCTTTGACAGTTATGGTCTACCCCTGCATGTGTACACCAACCCGGAGTTGCACCAATGGTGGAGTCAATGGAAGTACCTGACGCGCAGTGACCAGACCCTGCAAGCCCTGGATAGTCAAACCTGTGGCCATTATGCTTTATTTTTCTTGAAAGCTCGTGCACAAGGACGGTCCTATCAAGAATTTTTGAGTCAATGGAGTTGCGACAATTTAGTGTTGAATGATCATAAAGTGGCCGACCAGTTGAAACGGGTGATTAAACAGGAATTACAAGATGAAGTGGATGCCCGACCTGAAGGGGGGCAAAAGAATGTGAGCCGCCAGGCCTTTATCACTTGTCATCATTGTGAGTGTTGAAATAAAAAAAAACATAAAACGAGATGTGTAGTCAAAGAGTGGTCATTGTCTCTCATCATGATTACGCGAAGCGATGTGCAGCGTGTGGTGGATGCGTTCATTCTCGAAGAAACCTTGTATTGGTGGGAACACCCAATCGAGCGGGTCAACACGGTCCAAGGCATTGACGCCTGGGATGGGTATCATTGGTTAGTGGCACGACAATTGGCGCAAGACCAAGACTGGGTCTCCCTTAAACAGTACATGGACAGTATGAGCGAAACGTATTTAAGAGAGACCATGGAACGTCTAATTCAGTGTGAATCACCCCGCTTATACCGCGACTATTGGACAACATGCCCAACCGCAGACAACGACGACGACGGCGCAACCGACGACCCTGCTTTCGCCAAAACGGGCGCGGGATCATGAGCGTGTTGGCCAAAGCCTATAAAATTGGGGATAAATTGGGACGCGACAAACGGTATAAACGCATGGGCGCTAAAGGGGCCACTGGTCATTATCGACGTCACCCTCGTCCGTGGGAATCATGATCCGACAACCCAGTGGTGTGATCATCGCGGGCCCCTCAGGCAGTGGCAAGAGTGAATTGGTGGAACAATGGTTACGGTACCTCAACGTCTTTCAAGTCAAACCCCGCAAGATTGTGTATGCCTATGATCGTTGGCAACCCCGGTTCGAGCGTATGCAAAAAAAGGATGGGATTCAATTTCATCGCGGGTTACCGGACCCCCGTCATTTGACGCAATGGTTTGGTCGGACGCGTGGAGGGGTGCTGGTCTTGGACGACCTGATGGAAGAAGGGGGACAAGACAAGCGCGTGTTGGATTTGTTCACCAAAGATTCGCATCATCGCAACATCACCGTGTTGTATTTGACGCAAGATTTATTCCCGCCTGGTAAATTTTCCAAGACCATTAATCGCAACGCGCATTACATTGTGGCGTTCAAAAATCCCCGGGATCAAACAGGCATACGAACCATTTTATTGCAAGCCTTTCCGGATCGGTGGCGTCAAGTCTTGCGCCTATTTAAACGCATCACAGCCCGTCCCTTTGGCTATTTGATGTTGGATGTGCATCCTGCGTCGGATGATCGCTACCGCCTGTGGAGTCATTTAACGCCCCGAGAAGGCAAAGCCCAAGTCCACACGTTACGTGCGGATGTCCCTGCCGTTCGACAACGAACTGCAACGAGAACTCGCCAGGGTCCGCCGGCAAAGAGAAGGCGGACAACATACTGAGTTAGCTGCCCGCATGGACACGCCCACCCTCTCGCCTGCTGGTGTGGGCTCCCCATCGGTCCTTCGGGACCTCAGCAGCATGACGGACATGGTGACCGAATTGTCTCGACCGGTGGATCGTGCCCAATTGAATCAAGAGATTGAGGATTTTAATTTGACCTACCCGGTCAATGTGGACGATGCCTTGAATGCCTTCACGTTACCCCCCGTGGCAGGCACCGGCACGGCACCACCCGCCACCACCACCACCGCCCCCATCACCACCACGGCCACCCAAACCCGCCCCACCACATCCACCCGAACACGCCCCACCACCACCACGACCACCACCAGTCGACCACGACCCGTCACCTCCACTCGAACACGCCCGGCTACCACCGCCACGACCACGACGGCTCCTTCACGCCCTTCCACCTCCCGCCGCAGTGCAGGGGCAGGCACCAGGACCACTACCTCGACGGTGACGACCCCCACTGGACGCCCTACCGTGGCTGCCAAACAACCGCGACGACGTCCCCGTGTACCCGCCCCACCGTCCCCCGATTCGTCCCCTCCGTCCGAGGATGAGGATGATGATGATGATGACGATCGAGGGCGAGGCTTAAGGCGACGGTTGGATTTGCTCAATGAAGATGCTCAAGAACGGGCTCGAGGTAGACGCATCCGCAACATCACGCATACCAATACCGTCACCACCGTCTACGAAGAGGGTGGACGTCCCTCGGTACGCCGTACGTCCACCCGCACGTCCGGTCCACGACCCCCACGCCGAGGACGGGGCCGTGGCCGTGGCCGAGCCCGTGGACGAGGTCACAGGTCTGCGTAAACAGAAAAAAAGGATATAAAAACAGGGGTCTCTCTGTCACCGTCCCAAAATGTGTGGCCGTTGTGGACACGCGATGGCTCGGAAACGCAAACGCACCACGACTCGACGATTATCACGTCGACGGAGGATCAAGGGTGGGAAGGCACCGTTCGTCGTGGATTTCAAAAAAGGCTTCAAGCTGTTGACGGACTCGTCTATGTGGAAGATTCCGTCCAAAGCCGACATACAGTCCGACAAACGACGAGTGGCCAACTATAAACGCCAGTATCGCGCCAGTGGTACTAAGGACTCGTACAACAAGTGGTTGGTCAAGAAAGGGTATGCCAAAAAAGTGGGTGGATGCAGTTTGATGTGAAAATGTATAAAAAAAGAGGCTCAAAGTGTTCCGCTCTCAAAAGGACTCGTCATGAGACGCAAACGCAAACGCTCTACGGCTCGACAACGGCCCGCCAAACGACGACGACGGCGTGTGAGTCAAGTGGGGGGTGTCGGGGTCGGCCTGCCCATAGGCATCATGAAAGCTGGTTATGGGATCACCAAAGCCATCGGGGATCATCAAACCAAGCGTGCTATCGCCATTGGTGAAAAACGTCGACGCGAAGTGGCTTCAGGCAAACGGAAAAAATATGCGGGGGAATCCTTTAATTGTTCCATCATGTGAAAAACATATAAAAAGACCTTCGTGGGACCGAACAGGGGTTCATTGAATGATGGTCCGTGGACCTAATGGTCGACGACATCGTTATGTCCCTCGAAAACGACGCCGGCGACGTGGATTGCAACGTGGAGGCGTGCTCCCCATGTTGGCAGTGGCTCTCTCGCCTGGGGCGTTCAAGAAGAAGAAACGGCAGGCGCGCCGACGCTAAAGTGACCAAGAAAAGAAAAGCCGTCACGTTTGCGTTGGATTGGGATGACCAGTATGAAGCGGCTTTGTGTTCCCGGTGTCGACATCACATGCAAACGCATTATCATGGCGAATTGTGTGGTCGGTGTGGCGCCATTTTTACCATAAATAGACCTTGGTCGTTGCCTGAACTCAAGATTCATCATGGGGTGGCGCATGGAACGTCAAGCCCCGTTCTTAAAAAGTGTCTTACAAGAAGCCAATCAACACAAACGACAAGAATTATTGCGGATGGCCAATGCGGATCAGATCAATGCTGTCAGTGAATTGGTGATGAACACCCTCCGTGGCACGGTGCCCCGTTCCCGACACACCATCACGTTGCTCAAACCCCACGCCCAGAGTTTACGCGCTATGGCTAAACCCGCTCATTCCGTCAAACGACGACGCGCCATCATGATGGCTCAAAAAGGGGGTGCCCTTTGGCCGGAACTCTACCGATGTTATAAACGTTGCATGCGCTAGACAAGTCCCTTCAGTTGCACCATGGAACCCGAGATGGTGAGCACCACGGTGGACAACGCCCCAGCTTTTTTACAATTACGAGATCAGTACAAACAAGAATTGGTGGAAGATACCCGCTTGACCAAAGCCGCTGATTTAGCGGCCAAGCAACATGTGCTCCTGACCAGTGAGGCCCCCGATGCTTGGAAACGGCCTCAACTCAAAAGCTGTGAGCCGTCAATTACGCCATTGGACCAAAAAAGTGCGTCAACCGTTTGGAGCTGCGACGGGGGGTGTGAGTGCCGCAGGGGTCACGACGCCGGGCGACGAGGATGATTTTGAGGCGGGCCCCATGCAAGCCTGGTTCACGCAATTGGTCAAGGCCACCCAGGGTATAAAACAAGGCACCCCGACTCGTGGACCCAGAAAACCACCTGTCCCGCCTAAACCCAAGATCACGCCCAGTGCCAAAAAGAAACTCAAGTTCACGACCCCAGCGAGCAGTGCGGAGTTGGCGCACGAGTTGCCCTTTTCAGACACGGTCGGTGTAGAACCGTGGGGTACCCCCCAAGAACGTATAGAAAACATCAAGAGATCAGTCACACGTGATATTCGCAAAAGAACCACAGACTCAGCCAAAAAGAAAGCCGCCAGTGTCGCCAAAAAGAAAGCTGCTGGTTGGGCCAAGAAAGCTTTGGATTGGAAATCGTGGAAAACCCCGTAAGATGGGACGGACTCGCAAACGCCGCCGTGCAGCGTCCCGTTCCCGACCCAGGCGACCACGACGACGGTCGCAACGTGGAGGCAAGTTATTTGATGTGCAGAACCTCCTCAACAAGACAGGCATTGAATTTCATTGGCCCGGTTATCAGTACATGGGACCTGGCACCCATTTGAAAAAACGCTTGGCCCGTGGGGATCCCGGCATCAACCGGTTGGACAGGATTGCTAAAGCCCATGACATCGACTATGATAAAGCCAAGAATTTGAAAGACAAATGGGCTGCGGATCGCAAGATGATTGCCAAGATTGATCAACTCCCCGGCAGCAAAAACTTGACAGAGCGCATTGTGAGACGCATTATGAAAGCCAAACTCCGATTGGGCATGTAAACCCCCTTTAGTCATAAAAAAAGACAACATTGTTCAATGACACACATGTTTTAATTAAACTTCATTTTCGTTCTTACAAATACTCGTCCATTTGCTGCAACGCCTCAGCGCGAAGGGTTTGCACGGTGTCCTCTTCAGGGACGGACTCGGCCCAGTCCAAAGGCAACCACGGGAGGGGAAAGGGACACTCCAATTCTTCGTCCAACCAGGACCAATGTTGCCGTCGAATGGCTTCCATCCGCTTTTCGTACCTCTGTTTTTGCAGCGCTTTCCACCCTTCCTCGCCCAACGCTTTTCTTTTCTCGGCTGCTTGTTGTCGCCGATGCGCATTGGTTCGCTGTAGGTAGGCCTGGTATGTCCCCCGCTCTTTCATTTTCTGCCTCCAGTTTTTCTGACACTGGGCGTTTTTACGCTTGACCTCCGCCCGCTTCTCCTCTGTCATGCCATAGTACCGTTGCATGCCCTCTTGGGTCTTTTTGGCCTTAAAGGCCTCGTATTCGCCATTGACTTTCAGACGAGCCATCCGTTCGTGATAGCGACGACGGTGAAGGGCCTTGACATCCTCCACCCCATTCACTTTGGCATATAGACGTTGCCGATACGCTCTTTGTTGTTGTTTGTTTTTTACAGGGTCCCGTTTTTTTCTCCTGGGGGGCTGGCGCGATCCTGGTATATCCATGATTCAGTTCCAACACTTTGACGGCACACACGTCTGCCAAGGCCCGTAACTTTCTAAAGGGATTGGGTGTCTCCCGAACTCGGGCACGACGGTCCCGTTGCTGCTGTACAATCTTGTCGCGGTGACGCCGATAATACGCACGGTTCACAGCCCGCACTTGCGCCCCATGGGCAGCTCGATACCGGTTGCAAGCCAAGCGGTTCAATTCTCGGGCTCTGGCAATCTGTTCCTGGGTCGGAGGTGGTTTGGGCGGTTTGGGGGGTTTGAGCTTTTTCTGAGCCGCTCGCTTCTCACGCTTCTGTTCGGCAATCCTCTCCCGGTGTTTGAGGTACCACCGGTGCTTAGCCTCTTTCACTTTCTCCGGATCTCGATTGGGCATTTCTCGAACGCAACTGACGTCTGGTCTGAACGCTGGCCTATATCTAAGACTCTCTCCGCCAATCACCGCTCTCGGTCCAGGCTCAGAGGAGACTGGAAAAATCTGTACCCATGGGGGGCACCCCCCTCAATCCTCCTCCTGTCTAATCAACTCTTCACTTGACTCTCACCTGACTCTCACCTGAGCCCTCTCCACCAATCCCTATTCGTCTGATCACGTGTTTTTGGGTCTATAAAAGCCAGCGTCTGGCGCGGGAAATTCAAATTGTTTTTCCTCCGTCATGGCGGAAGACTACAGTGATGAGGAGGAGGAGGCTCTGTTAAACCGCGCTTATGACCGGTGGGAACAACTGGGAGGGGCTGCCGCCGCCCGTGGCCCTCTTTTTCAATTCACCATGCAACCTATTGGTCGACGACGCCGCTGGCGCAATGTGGTGGAGCGGGCGCAATTTAACGCGCAATTGCGTCAATTGAGGGATCCTGGTCCTGGGGATAATATTGGGATGGCATTGACGGAAGCATTACATCAAGCCATTGAAACAGAACTCGACCGCGAGCAGCGACCCGCCCATCATTTTGTGAACTTTGCCATTACAGCGCACGGGTTCACTCACGCGTATCAAACCGCTAATTTCACCGTGGGGGAATTTTTACAACGCACCGCTCGTTTGGATGAGATGTTGGCCACCTTGGCGGGAAAATTAAACAGCAATGAAGCCTTCAACCCCGATCGCGGGTTCCAAGTGGATGTGGTGTTTGTCTCCATGCCCGGTCGAGGGTCTGGTCGACATAAACAACGCAATGTGGGACGTTTATGCCTGGATCGAGTCAATAAGAAAAAGCAATGCATTGTCACCATCCGAAACAGAGATACCCTATGCTGTGCCCGTGCCATTGTCACCATGCGTGCCCACTGCCACAAAGATCAAGGCGTGGACGGGTTTCGCGATTGGGAGAATCTCAAACGTGGGCTTCCTGTGCAGCAACGTCAAGCCCAGGCCCTCCATCAGCAAGCGGATGTCGCGGAGGGTCCCTGTGGCATCCCCGAGCTTCGTCAATTTCAACAAGCGTTGGGACCTCAATATCAACTCTTGGTGATGACCCGGATGAAACCGTTCTTTTTAATCTTCAAAGGCCCTGACGCCCCTCATCAGATTCGTTTACTCAAGTCCAATGATCATTTTGATGGCTGCACGTCCTTTCCCGCCTTTGTGAATCGCTCCTATTATTGCCTGGATTGTGAACAAGGGTTCAACACCAACGATCGATCCCATCATACTTGTCAAGGGAGACGCTGCTCCGCGTGTGGTCGATTTGATTGTCCGGATTATGTGCGGGGTACCCGCCCCACCGAGTATTGCAGTCTGTGTCACCGCAAGTTTTACGGCGGTCAATGCAAACGTTATCATGAAATCAGTGCCCAATGTCAATCTATCAAATGCTGTCGCAAGTGCCAAGCCCAATACACAGTCATCCGCAACCAACGTCATCAGTGTGGGTACACCAAATGTTCCGTGTGTCAGGAATGGGTGCCTATCCAAGACCATAAGTGTTACATTCAGCCCGTGGTAGAGCCAGAGGAGACTGAACCGACAGAGGAGGGGGGAGGTCGCATGGTGGCGCCACCCCCTCCCCTGTTTGTTTACGCGGATTTTGAAGCCATGCAAAATGCAGAAGGGGTGTTTGTAGCCAATTTGTTATGTTATTCATCCAGTGCCGAAACCACTATTCATGTATTGGACGGGGAGGACTGTGCTCTACAATTTTTGCGTGAGTTGGATGATCTCACGGACGTGCCGGACAGTGAGTGCGAGCGGGAGATTCTCGTGGTGTTTCATAATTTGAAAGGCTTCGATGGGATGTTTATTCTCCATGAATTGTACCAGCAACAACGCGTGGTCGAGGATCAGCTGACCGTAGGGGCCAAAGTGTTGTCGTTCAAGAGTGGACCCCTCAAATTCATCGACTCGTTGTGTTTCTTGCCTATGCCGCTGGCCTCCTTTCCCAGCACCTTCAATTTGACCGAATTAAAAAAGGGCTTCTTTCCTCACTTGTTCAACACCCCCGATCACCAACAGTATGTGGGTCGTATCCCTGATCTGGAATTTTACGATCCCGACGGCATGATGGTTAAAAAGAAAGACGAACTGACCCGTTGGCATGCCGATCAAGTCCGTCGCAATGTCACGTTCAATTTCCAGCAAGAAATGATTGAGTATTGTAAATCGGATGTGGCTCTATTGAAAGCGGGGTGTGAAGCCTTTCAAGAGGAATTTGAACAGCAGGCCGGCTTCAACCCCATGGCCAAGTGTATCACCATTGCCAGTGCCTGCAACTTGTATTGGCGCAAGCATCATTTGACCCCCGACACCATTGCGGTGGAACCTCTCGGAGGGTGGCGAGGGGCCCAAGTCAATCAATCCCTCAAGGCCCTCCAATGGCTCTATTATCAAGAACATCTCATTCCCAAAGAGGGGGCCAGTGCTGACCGCATTCGTCACGTCCGTAACGGGGGCGAACAGTCGATCCGAACCAGCGCCCATCATTATTTTGTTGATGGCTACGATCCTGTGACTCGTACCGTCTACGAATTTCATGGTTGTCTCTATCATGGCTGTCCCCGTTGTTATCCCGTGAGAACCGCCAAACATTATGCCACACCGGATCGAACTGTGGAGGAACTCTATCAAGCCACGCTCGCCAAACGCCAGGCCTTGCTCCGAGCAGGTTATACAGTCATTGAAATGTGGGAATGTGAATGGGACCAATTGGTGGACACCGATGAGGCTGTTCAACGTTTCCTGTCGTCCTTCGATCTGGTGGCACCCTTGGAACCCCGTGAAGCCTTCTTTGGGGTCCGAACCGGTGCGGTGGCTCTGCATGCCGTGGCTGGAGAAGACGAGGAAATACGCTATGTGGATGTGACCTCCTTGTACCCGTGGGTCAACAAAAACTGTCCCTATCCCATCGGGCATCCTCGGATCATCACGCAACCCGTCGACCAGTCCCTGGAATCTTATTTTGGTGTCGCCACGGTGGACATTCTTCCTCCCACTGGTTTGTTCCATCCTGTTCTACCCGTGCGTAGCGGGAACAAACTCACGTTTCCTCTCTGTCGTGCTTGTGTTCAGACCGAACAGGCCCAACCCATGTTGACCCGAACCCATTATTGCCCTCATTCCGATGCCGATCGTATGCTACGCGGCACCTGGTGCACACCCGAATTGGTCAAAGCCGTCGAAAAGGGGTATACGCTGATCAAGATCCATGAAGTCTGGCATTTTCCCCTTGAACAACGCCAAACAGGTCTTTTTGCCAATTACGTGAACACGTGGCTCAAGTTAAAACAAGAATCCGCGGGATGGCCCAGCTGGTGTCAGACCCTCGAACAAAGACGCGACTACATTCTTCGCTATCAGGAACGGGAAGGCATCCGACTGGACATTGCCAGCATTGCCAAGAACCCCGGTCGCAAAGCCACGGCCAAGCTCATGTTAAACAGTTTCTGGGGCAAATTCGGAGAGCGGATCAACAAACCCACCACCGTCACTGTCCAACATCCCGCTGATTTGTTCAGGCTCGTCTCTGATGCTGCCCTCGAACTCAGCACACTCCGCCTTTGCACCGATGATATCTTGGAAGCCGTTTACACCAGTGTCCAAGACAATGCTGTCAAAGGCGCCAAGACCAATATTTTCATAGCAGCGTTCACCACCTGTCATGCTCGGCTCAAACTCTACGAGTCCTTAGACACCCTTCAACAGCAAGTCCTTTATTATGATACTGACAGTGTAGTGTACAAATGGCGTCCCGGTCAACCCAGCATTGCCACCGGAGATTTTCTCGGGGACATGACGGACGAATTAGATGGCGATGTCATCACGGAGTTTGTTTCAGGGGGCGCCAAGAATTATGGGTACCAGACCCGTGGTGGTAAAGTCGTGTGCAAGGTACGCGGTTTCACCCTCAACGTCCGCGGGTCAGCCATTCTTAATTTTCAGACCATGAAAGAAAACATTCTTTCTGAATTAGATTCGCCCCAGGACTCTCGCCGCAATTTGAACATCACCAACCCTTATTATTTCAAACGAGATTTAGAACAGAAACACATTCAAGTGGTTCCGCGCGTGAAGCAGTATGGGTTGGTGTTTGACAAGCGTGTCATTGATGTAACCACCCGATCCAGTTATCCCTATGGCTACGAAAGGATTGGGGACGAACTCGACCTGCTATTAGATTTGTGAAAAAATGGGCGTGACGTCACTAGGGCGTCACACACGTCCCGCTTGTAACCAGGCTCTACGCGGTCATTAAAACTATGCCAAGAATGCAGATTCAACTCTTGTGTGCGTGTGTTCTTTATTCTATGGGGTCACGTGAACAACCATGCCCAAATATGGACATTTGTGACGTCAATAAGTCACATGGGCGAAATACTCGAATCTGATTGGTCGAGACAAAAGTTGCTGCGCTCTGATTGGTTACTACCTAGTGTAGCCCCTATTACTACTTAAATCGGCCGGCCTGTGCAAAACAATCCGTGTTTTGTATCTGATAATGCTTTATATGCTCTTCTTGACGGCCTTGATCAAGGTTAGATAAAGATCGGGTGAAAAGTTGTGATTACGAGTTGAAAAAACAATGTTGACTTAAATAAAAGAGATCTCTTGACTGTGGAGAAAAAGCTGTTCTCGACTAGATGACAAATCTCGGCTCTTCACTGAAAATCAACAATTCGCCCTCGTTTTGAACTCTATGTTGGTACAGTTGGCGATATTTTTTGGGTAGGAAATAAGTCCATCTTTTCAGGGAGGCACTCAGTAATATCAAATCCCGGGTATGGGTAATGCATTTTCTGCGCATGCTTAAATGCTTAAATGCAGTTCTTCCGGGATCCCTTTAGATAAAACTGCTCAGTATCACACAATTCTTATCAATATAATCGGCATACTCGAAATGATATGATGACCTGAGATCAATGAGTAAAACAGAAAAACGTTACAAATTAGTTGTTGCGGATGATGATAAAAATAGAAATACATGAGAAACAAATCGAAAAGATAGTCCATATTCCAGGGACGCCCAAAGAAAGTTGTTGGCTAAGCATGACACTAAGATGAGGTGTTGGAAATTTTTTGTTTTCGTTTCTAATTTGGTCGTGGCAAAAACAACTGTGAAAGAGTCACATTACCAGCTCGATATCGAGGGTAATTAAAACATCTGAACTGATCGATCCGATCCGATCGTGAACTCGATTCGCGACCGGCGCATCAAGCTCTATACCGCCAACAACCTATCTAAACCTTCTTGCAACGGTCAATTAAGACGGACCCAAAACTACACAAAACGGCATAATGCAATGATAGTTAGGTTAGCCAGCGAACATCGCTATCTAGTCTCCTTCAGTTTTTTTTTCTTCCATTCAACCATCTGTGTGTTAAATGCTACAAAAAGCAGGAAGTGAAAATCATTGAGCCAGCTGAATGTTAACGGCGGAACACCCTTCCCGGTTAGCTCAGTCTAACTGTTTTTTTTCTGTGTTTCTAACTGTTATGGACATTATCAGGATTTTCTTTTAGGGAACAACAACTTGAAAACTTTTAAGTAAGACAGACACATTACCTTTAAAAACGATTAAGGTTGTAAACAAATATAAATGAGTGAGCTTTAATTGACAGCTATTTAAAATACTTTTGGCAAGCATAAATTACTGCAACTTTTAAGTTTGTTGAGCACTGAAACCAAGATATATTTTCTTTTGGTTGTTGTTGTTGTTGTTGTTTTTGCTCTAACGTGCTCGTGACTTCAATGTCAGTTACTTATCTTAAATTTTTATCAACTGTTTAAAAACACACGATTACCTTCAGTAATTACGAGATTAAAAAAAATTTCATGTTAAATTTAAAAAACCTGTTTTGGCAAGCAAATAGGTCACTGTAAGACTTTTGTGACTGAAAGATCTTCACTAAGATATACATTTTATTGAAAGTGTATGTAAGCTCGTTGATTCTTAAAACTTGTGAAGCGCCTACTTAGGGATCCAATGTGCTTACTAGTTAAATGCCGGAAAGAAATGCAAACTTTCGATTATAAAGTATCTTCTGCTTTCCAAAACATGAAATTTTTTAAATCATTCTTAACGATCTGTCGAACTTCTTTCATTTTCCTACCGAAAACGACTGGATTTAACGATGAATTGAGCAGCATTACAACTGTTGTAAGTTGTATGGCTCCCTTTATCGCCGCATTCGGCTGAGGAATCGCTAGCAAAACAGTTAAAGTGATTAGGTACGGACAATAACACAACAAAAATACAAGATATACGTAAAAGGTTTTGATGGCTAAGTTCTTGATTCGAGCCATGCTTGTGAAACTTGACAGATGCATTGCCACTTGTGCCTGGCTGTTTATGCTCGCTGCGTGTTGTCGAGCGACAAGAAAAAGTTTAATGTATATGATGCTGAGCAAAAACGTGGAGCAGTAAGCAACAATAAGACAAACCACTTCTCCAACTTTAAAATACCAGAAGACACATATGAAAATGGTAGCCAGGGAAAAAGTCCACGACGCAAGTACCACGGTGATTATTCGCTTTGTAGTGACTAGTTCATTGTATCTAAGATGCAAATAAATTGCAAGAAACCTATCCACTCCGATGAAAGTCAACACCATGAATGAGCAACCAGTTAACGAAGCTTGTATCAGGAAAAATGCTAGCAAAATTTCACGGACGTTCTCGCAGCTATAATGTTGCAGAATTTTTGAAATTACGGCGATGTAGAGTGGATGGCCTAGTACCCCAGTGGTAAGGTCTGTTATCGCCAAGAACCGAAGTAGAGTTCGCGTTGGCGAAGGAATAGATGAAGTTTTCCTTAGCGCAAAAATTAGGCTTGCGTTTCCGAAAACCGCCGTGACCGAGAGAAAACCATTAAGGACATACATTACAATATATAGAGGGTAAACTTCCTCAGGTTTTCCATAATACTTCATCAAAACCTCATTGCAAAGTTTGAGTGATGCTAACATTGTCATTTTCTCTATCCGCAGCAGCCGGCCTCTTCTGACTTACCAGGTGGAGATCTTCCGCACTTAATAAATGACTTTTAATTAATTATACGTGTTCGTGTGACGTTTGGAAGGTAATTTATACAAAAATTATAATAAAACTTACTAAATGCTGTTAGTTTACGTTTACACATAACAGGAAATTAATTAGCCGGCTTTTAGTCGTTTTTGATCGTCGAAAAATTACCACACCGGTATAATTTTTAGAACCAAAAGTAGGTTGAGTTTGATCGTCGGGGTGAACGTAGTCCTGAAGAGGACTGTTCTTGTTGACAGTGACTGACGTTTCGACAACCTTTTCGGTAGTCATCTTCAGAGTCAAAGTGAGTTGTATGACGTCAGTTGATGGTATTATACTCTGGTTATTGATCTGGTTGGTCAATTACGTCGCGATGTTATTCGTCGTCTGTCAGTTAAGCCGTGATTGGCTATGAAGACTCGTAATAAGTAATTGGTGCGTTTCGATCCTTCTATTGTCACAGTTAAACAGTCGTCTATTGTTAGTCAAATTGTCAGTTCTCCAGTCGTTCTTTCGTAGTTAGTTTTGCTTGATCTCGTCAATAAGTCGTTTGTACGGCACTGGTAACTGTTGGCTACGATTCAGTGGCGTTTGTTCTAAGTAAGTAAACCAGCTTTCTAAAGTAGGACGTTGATAGTAGTCTGTAGCATACGTTATACATATCGCAGAGTCCCAGTCAATTTGATGTTTCGTCTTTAAATGGTGCTCAGCAATGTGATTGTGGACGTCACCATTCCTCGTCGCTCGTTTGCGTTCGGTCAGTCGCGTTTTTAGAATGTTTAATTGTCCTTATTTTTGAGAAATTGTAAATGCAGAGACTAGGAATGTGTTCGAATAACTTGAACTACTTGCAAAATAAGACATCACGTCTTTACCACATTCGACGCACGTATAAGAAATGTAAAATGTAAAAATAAAAATGTTCTAGAAGTTTTGAAATCCTCGAAATATATTTCGCTCTTCGAGCCTCGTCATGTTTTTTTCATGTAAGATGCACTAAAATAGTCTGCGTGTTCGCCAGTGTCATGTAAGCCAACAGCCAACAATTGGATTGAAGTTAACAGGTGTTTTGGGTCAGATATTCATGATCTGGTGGGATAAAATGATTTTTAAAACTTATGAAGCGCCTACTTAGGGATCCAATGTGCTTACTAGTTAAATGCCGAAAAGAAATGCATACTTTCGATTATAAAGTATCTTCTGCTTTCCAAAACATGAAATTTTTTAAATCATTCTTAACGATCTGTCGAACTTCTTTCATTTTCCAACCGAAAACGACTGTATTTAACGATGAATTGAGCAGCACTTGAACTGTTGTAAGTTGTATGGCTCCCTTTATCGCTGCATTCGGCTGAGGAATCACTAGCAAAAAAGTTACAGTGATTAGGTACGGACAATAACATAACAAGAATACAAGATAAACCAAATATACGAAACCAAGTTTAATTTTGTTTGTTTGTTCGTTTATTTTATTTAAATGGACTGTGTCACGATGCTGCGCATGTGTCAGTTGTAACAGGAGCTGGTTGTTTTTAAACCAATCGGAACCGAATTAGAGGCACTTAGTGCGAGTATTCCGGACGTTTAGTTCCATATTATGTATCCCCGTAATCTATATCTATTCTCTTCTGTTCCTTAGATATATTGTGCAGCCGATAAGAAAAAGATTTACAACCCTGTCCTGCTTTGAAACAAGCCGCATTTTATTATTTTACCTGCGTGTATTTCTACGTACCCACACTGGCAAACCAGCCTCTGATCAGCAAACAAAATTTGCAAAGTTAACAAACCTTTTACTGATCGCTCTGTCCCGGGCTCTGTTTACCCTATATCAGGAGCCCATCAATTGATAGGCTCCTGCCTATATAAAGTTAGAAATATCTGCAAATAGCACCTTACAGGTGACCAAAGTACACAGCATCAAATGACTATTAATAAGCTATGCTGAGCCTGCCAGGCGTTCAAATAGTAGGGCGCGGCGGTAAGTGGGGGGTGAGTTAAATTGTACACCGGGAAAACGGGGGGAGGGCACCGTTCTCTCCCCCTTTTCCCCTCTAGTCTTCCCTCGTTTTTTTTTTCTTCGTGAATTTTTCTCCCGGGCTCTACTATCTGAACGCCTGGAAAAGGCTACTATGCTATCCTTTGACACACTCCCAGTAGTAAATGCACGAAAGATACGTTACTGAACTATCAAGAAAGATTGCAAATAAACACGAATAACTAGTTTTATTAAAACCGTACATGCAAGGCAGAAAAATGACAGCTAAATAAACTGCCCTTGGCAAGCATTCCATGCTTGAAAGTAAATCCGTTTAAGTCCCAGACAAAATGCACTAAAAACCTTTGATGCCTTAACACTATCTGATGGATTTAAAGAAAAAAAAAAAAGAAAAAAAAACAGCCTTCTGTAGTTGTTAAAGCTAAAGAAGGCTCTCGACGACGAGTTACACACAGGTTTCCCGCCAGCATTATTATTTTCTACTTAGGACTAAGCTGGAGTAGTTGCGATTTTTTGATGTTTGTCTGCTGAACGTGTAACCCGAAAGAAGGCTTCATCTGATTTATGGAAAAAATAACTTTTAAAATAATTCTTAACGTTTTGACAAACTTCCCTCATTTTCCAACCAAACACCAGAGGGTTTAGCGATGAATTGAGCATCATTAAAACTGTTGTAAGTTGAACAGCTCCCTTCATCGTTGTACTCGGCCGTGAACTAACAAACAACACAGTTAAGACGATTAAATAAGGACAATAACACAGCAAAAATACAACATATACATAAAATGTTTTGATGGCCAAGTTTTTGCTCCGAGTCATGCTTGTGAAATTTGACAAATGTATTGCCACCTGCGCTTGGCTGTTTATGCTTGCTGCGTGCTGACGAGCGACGGAAAAAGTTTCACCCGGATGTATACAGCTATTTCGAGAAAGGTTGTCGGAAAATTGTGCACGCGACAATCGCGAAAGGTAATATGGGATATGATCGATACACTGTTTCTGACGACTTTAACTATCGAACCTACTTTTTGCTTTCCTTTAACACTCAAAAACACATTTTCGAGGCCTTTCGTGCCACTTCTTTCAAATTTCTTTGAAGAACTGTGAACTCAAAACCACCCACAATGCCTTTCTGGATTGTCGCGTGCACTTTTTCCGACAACCTTTCTCGAAATAGCTGTATGATGCTAAGTAAAAGGGTACAGCTATAACCAAAAATTAGCAAAAGTGTCTCCCCAGCCTTAAAATACCAGAAGACAGAGATGATAGTGGTAGCTAGTCCGAAAATCCACGACGCAAGTACTACGGTGACCATTCGCTTTGGAGTTACTAGTTCGTTGTATCTAAGATGCAAGAAAATTGCCAGAAACCGATCCACTCCCATTAAAGTCACTGTTGTAAGTGATGCGGAAAGTAACAAACCTTCTATCATGAAAAATGAAAATAGTATTACATGGATATTCTCACAACTATACTCTTGCCGAATTCCTGACATGATAGCGATGTAAAGAGGATGGCCCAGGAAACCAGTGGCGAGATCTGTTAGCGCTAAACACTGTAATAGAATTCGCGTTGACAAAGGAATTGATGAAGTTTTCTTTAACGCGAAGATTATACTTATATTTCCCAAAACCGAGGTCAAAGAGAGAACGCCATTAAGAACACACATAACCAGATATAGTGGGTACACGTCCTCTGGTTTACCATAGAACTTCTTCAGAACTTCATTGCAAAGATTGAATGTTACTTCCATTTTCTATCCGCTCTACAATGAAAAGCAAGCACCTTGTTTCTGTCTTACAAAGAAAAGAAGTCCCATTACCCGCAGATGACACAGGTGACACTTAATGAGAAAATTGGCACAAGAGGCAATATAATGTTTTTAGATTAGCACTTTTCGGCCGCTTTGGAGTGGCAATTAACACACTTGTCTAATTGTTCAAATGTTTGATTCTAACTCGTCAAACGCACAGCTCGACCCTTGAAGCACTTGACATGTCGCAAATGATCTGAAATGACTCCACAAAATGAATTATTTTACCGAAGTCTATGCAGAATAATAAACTTACTTGTATCAGCATACAAGTGTTCCTGTTTAGTTTTTTTTTCTCTTTGATCTAAGACTACAAATTGAACTAAATTACTTGGCCCAGTGGCACTAGTTGAATATCGCTTTAGTTTTCGTGTCCTTTTCATTAATATTTTTTTATTACCAAAACATTATAAGTTACACATGTTCCAATAAAAAGCAACAATTTCTAAACTGGTGCTTTGTAGGTAATGATTCTCTGAATACATAAAAGGGATATTATGGTCAAATGATAATGACGCTGTGAATCGTAGCACCTGATATTAAAATAATTATTGCTGTCTTTTGGGCCTCTTGCTGCCTTGAATTGTATCCCTCCTGAGTAAAACCCTGAATGCTTATTACTATACCTGCAGGGAGCTGTGACGTTTGTTGTTGTCGCGTGAGTTTTTCTGATACTGCTTCCCCCAAAAAATTCGCTCCTGCAATTCTTAATTTAGTATTTACGAGGCTGACTGAACGGAAAGAAACAACCATTTTGATTTTTCTCCAGCTTCTTAGATTTATATTATATAGTGAACAAATCAGAACTTCCTTTTTTTCGCTCTTCATTCATTCAAAGGGTTTTCTATCTAGTCTTGACTAGTAATAATGTTTTTACTCACGAAATTATTGCTAGCATAGCATCTCTTCACTGTAAAATATGTTTTCAGTTATTAATCATGTATTTGTTAATATGAACTCAGAGAAAAAAAGGCGCAAAGCCCAGAACGTTCGGTTCTTATGCAAAATTAAACCACTGACATTTTATTATTCCAAAAAGCGAAAAATACGTTAAATGGTACTTCTACACTCGTTGCTCATCCACTTTCTTTTTTGATCATCAACAAATTCGACGAAAGACGTTTTATTGAACAGTTGGCTACGAATGAGGAAAACGAAACATATGAACTGAGCGAAGCGTCTTGTGACAATCAGGCAATTTTTACCAAAGACAACACCAACCTTTTTTCGCTTTAATTCCAGGAAACATTTATTTTTTCTCTCTTGATTTGCAATATAATCCATTTTATGCTAACAAAGCAGTTCAAACAAACATAAAAAAATTTTCTAAAAATTTTAATATTAAAACCGTAAAAGCAAACTAGTATGACAGCCCAATGAATTACTTTTGGCAAGCAAGCTTTTTCTAATTACCTAATAAAGATTCAACCTGCTGTATCGTTGCGGTATGATCTAAAAACCAATGATGTTTCCTCTGGCCTCCTGTGAGATTACAATGAATTTGTCAAACATATTCTTGAATATCAAAGCGTGTTAAAAAAAAGAATATAAACCGTCAATGAGTGAACTTTTGAAAGCTAAGTCAGCTAGTTCTTGAGTCGTTAATTTTTCATAATGTCATTGGAAGCAACCGGTTGAATCAGGGAAAATGGTTTTAGCCAGTCGTGAGAATTTGCCAGATTAAAAAGGAGTTTATAAGATAATGTTGTTCAACAACAACAAAAATAAAACTTGTACCAGGCTGCTCCTGTATCCAGATATATTGTATACCAGGTGACGAATACCAGCAAAATCCTATCTTTATCTTAAAGCTGACAATAATACCGAATTCCGATCAAACCATTACTATACGTAATAATTTCATGCACATGTCGTTATTGAAGCGCGCTTGCCCCTAGATAGGGACACTCCCTATGATGGCGGCCCATAAGGGGGTAGGGAGGGGGGTCCACCCTCAAAGGTTACCTTTTTTAAGCGTCAGGTATAATAAGGTAAAACAAACGAAATTGGCGATTCGGTGACGAATTTAAAAATATATTCAGTACTTTTTAGTTTTGGAGCAAATGAACTTGGAGTTAATTAAATTTAAGTTTTGAGTAATTTAACTTTAAATTTGGCGTTTGAAATGATATTTGCCTTCATAATCATATTTCGTAGTGCAACGGACAGGCACTCCAAACGTGAAGTGGTTTTCTTATACTCATTACCACTTGGTCAATTAATTAACATTTAATTTCAGAAAAAAAAATGGTCAGGGTTGACTTACGTTAATTTTATTTCACTCGGTCATTCTACGGAACTGTTGGGGATTCTTTTCACTCGCTACTTGTACAAAGCTATCGACGTGAAAAAAGGTAGCAGCCGTCTTAATACTGGATTTAAGCAAGGATTTGATAGCCTTGACCACCAGAAACTGCTAGTAAAATTACAAAATCTCAGTGTCTCTAAATTGCCTTTGCCCTGGTCCCAAAGCTATCTGACTGACAAAAACAACGCGTCCGAATCAACAGCTTACTCTTCCCTCGATCAAGCATGGAGGTCCACAGGGTTCATCCCCTTCAAGTGTTCTACATAAAAGACCTTCTATCAGTTTGTAACACTTTCACTGTTTTAGATGACTCTAAGCATTATGCAATTAACTTTAAAATAAATATGTTAATGGAGGACTTGTCGAACTACGACTGGATTTAAGTCGCTTTTCATCCTCTTGTTGTTTGTGAAAATAAAGTTCTCATAAACCTTAAAAAGACCAGTACTGTCTGTTTGGCTCTTCCAAGGTGCTGGAGCGATTGGCCATACTATCCATAATTAATGTTCCGAGCAATTGCCCGTTGTTGACTCTGTCAAGGACCTCGAAGGCTTTTTTATTGTTCGTCTGTGTGGTCAGGCACTAGCAAATTGAACATTGCTACTGAAACTTCAGCTAGTTCAGAACTTTGCCTTTAGACTGTTAGGGAAGAGAAAATACGGTCACATAACGCCAACACTCAAAGAGTTTAAGATTCTTCCAGTACTTAAATCTTTCGGGCTTAAGAGACGCTGTTCAGATGTTCAAGTGTATGCAATCAGGCACCAACTTACTTTGCAAACATGTTTAAAAAGAGATCTGAAAGTCACAAGTACACTAACAACAATCTTACTCTCCCCTTGTGCAGTATTAGCACATTTACATATGGAGGGACCGTAGTGTGGATCTCAGTAGTACCAGTTATCCCCAATTCGTCACGCGTAGACACATTTGAACATAGTTTGAGAAATTATTTTCTCGCAAGTTTTCTTAGTAATGAGGTACCGTAGAGTTTCGAACGGTAGCGGGTCCCCGTTACTTTGAGCGTTGTGGCATTTCTAAGCTTGTGTTTTTCTCCGAAGCGAACAGCTTGGAAACTAAAATTTGATAGCATTTTGTTTTGAATGAGGGTATGGGCATTATTTTCAATTGAACAGGCCTAGCGAGCGTAAAAATTGCATTCAGTGAGGATTAATGAGAGAGCCGTGACAAAATTAAAGGGCATGACAAAATGAAAGGGACCATTGGTACTTAGAAATAACATCTCATAGGCATGGAAAAAATGGGTTCATGCCCTCGCAGCCCTAAACTTAGGTCCTAGATCTCTCGCCGGGCTGATGATTCATTCCCAGTTTTTGCTCGTCCGGTTTTGCATGCCGGGCGTGAAATTGGCATACCCAGCATGACTGATTTTGATGTTCGCTCAGCAATATACCATGACATTCACCAGAAGCACATAACCCATTCTTCTGCATTCACATAATCGCCAAATATATCTCAGGGGAGCTTGAAGTTACGGGTTTCATGCCTGGCAATAAATGCAGATTTCAACCAAAAAAAAAGTTATGTTTGTCACAATTTATGTCACGGGATCGACTGGCAAAACTGAAGACAGATCGAAGTTGTTGACCAAGCTGGATTTATTTAAAAAGCACAACATAACAACTGTATTCATGAAAAAAAATGGAATACTTCACTTGCATTCAAAGATCAATTAATCCTTATATGCATCTTCCGTTGTTTTAAAACTAAGAGTTCTTTTTTGTGTCCTCTAAAGTGGAAAGGGTAGGTCAGGCCCTTTTCCAATTTAATGACCTGCTCTTACAGTTACTGAAAATAATATAAATCGGCCGGCCTGAGCAAAACAATCCGTGTTTTGTATCTGATAATGCTTTATATGCTCTTCTTGAAGGCCTTGATCAAGGTTCGATATAGATCGGGTCAGTGAAAAGTTGTGATTAAGAGTTGAAGAAAAACAATGTTCACTTAAATAAAAGAGATCTCTTGACTGTGGAGAAAAAGCTGTTCTCGACTAGATGACAAATCTCGGCTCTTCACTGAAAATTAAAAATTCGCACAGGTTTTGAACTCTATGTTGGTACAGTGAGTGATATTTTTTGGGTACCAAAGCGGAAATAAGTCCTTCTTTTCAGGAAGGCACTCAGTAATATCAAATCCCGGGTATCGGTAATGAATTTTCTGCGCATGCGTAAATGCTTAAATGCAGTTCTTCCGGGATCCCTTTAGATAAAACTGCTATATCACACAATTCTTATCAATATAATCGGCATACTCGAAATGATATGATGACCTGAGATCAATGAGTAAAACAGAAAAACGTTACAAATTAGTTGTTGCGGATGATGATAAAAATAAAAATACATGAGAAACAAATCGAAAAGATAGTCCATATTCCAGGGACGCCCAAAGAAAGTTGTTGGCTAAGCATGACACTAAGGTGAGGTATTGGAAATTTTTTGTTTTCGTTTCTAATTTGGTGGCAAAAAAAGCTGTGAAAGAGTCAAGTTACCAGCTCGATATCGAGGGTAATTAAAACATCTGAACTGATCGATCCGATCCGATCGTGAACTCGATTCACGACCAGCGCATAAAGCTCTATACCGCCAACAACCTAACTAAACCTTCTTGCAACGGTCAATTAAGACGGACCCAAAACTACACAAAACGGCATAATGCAATGATAGTTAGGTTAGCCAGCGAACATCGCTATCTAGTCTCCTTCAGTTTCTTTACTTCCATTCAACCATCTGTGTGTTAAATGCTACAAAAAGCAGGAAGTGAAAATCCTTGAGCCCGCTGAATGTTAACGGCGGAACACCCTTCCCGGTCAGCTCAGTCTAACTGTTTTTTTTTTCTTTGTTTCTAACTGTTAAGGAAATTATCAGGATTTTCTTTTAGGGAACAACAACTTGAAAACTTTTAAGTAAGAAAGACACATTACCTGTAAAAACGATTAAGGTTGTAAACAAATATAAATGAGTGAGCTTTAATTGACAGCTATTTAAAATACTTTTGGCAAGCATAAATTACTGCAACTTTTAAGTTTGTTGAGCACTGAAACCAAGATATATTTTCTTTTGGTTGTTGTTGTTGTTATTTTTGCTCTAAAGTGCTCGTGACTTCAATGTCAGTTATCTTAAATTTTTATCAACTGTTTAAAAACACACGATTACTTTCAGTAATTACGAGATTAAAAAAAAATTTCATGTTAAATTTAAAAAACCTGTTTTGGCAAGCAAATAGGTCACTGTCAGACTTTTGTGACTGAAAGATCTTCACTGAGATATACATTTTATTGAAAGTGTATGTAAGCTCGTTGATTTTTAAAACTTGTGAAGCGCCTTCTTAAGGACCCAATGTGCTTACCAGTAAAATGCCGGAAAGAAATGCAAACTTTCGATTATACAGCATCTTCTGCTTTCCAAAACATGAAATTTTTTAAATCATTCTTAACGATCTGTCGAACTTCTTTCATTTTCCAACCGAAAACGACTGGATTTAACGATGAATTGAGCAGCACTAGAACTGTTGTAAGCTGTATGGCTCCCTTTATCGCCGCATTCGGCTGAGGACTCACTAGCAAAACAGTTAAAGTGATTAGGTACGGACAATAACACAGCAAAAATACAAGATATACGTAAAAGGTTTTGATGGCTAAGTTCTTGATTCGAGCCATGCTTGTGAAACTTGACAGATGCATTGCCACTTGTGCCTGGCTGTTTATGCTCGCTGCGTGTTGTCGAGCGACAAGAAAAAGTTTAATGTATATGATGCTGAGCAAAAACGTGGAGCAGTAAGCAACAATAAGCAAAACCACTTCTCCAACTTTAAAATACCAGAAGACACTTATGAAAATGGTAGCCAGGGAAAAAGTCCACGACGCAAGTACCACGGTGATTATTCGCTTTGTAGTGACTAGTTCATTGTATCTAAGATGCAAATAAATTGCAAGAAACCTATCCACTCCGATGAAAGTCACCACCATGAATGAGCAACTAGTTAACGAAGCATCTACCAAGAAAAATGCTAGCAAACTTTCATGTACGTTCTCGCAGCTATAATTTTGTAGAATTTTTGAAATTACGGCAATGTAGAGTGGATGATCTAGTACCCCAGTTGTAAGGTCTGTTATCGCCAAGAACCGAAGTAGAGTTCGCGTTGACGAAGGAATTGATGAAGTTTTCCTTAGCGCAAAAATTAGGCTTGCGTTTCCGAAAACCGCGGTCACCGAGAGAAAACCATTAAGGATATACACTGCAATATATAGAGGGTAAACTTCCTCAGGTTTTCCAAAGTACTTCATCAAAACCTCATTGCAAAGTTTGAGTGATACTGACATTGTCATTTTCTCTATCCGCGCAGCAGCCGGCCTCTTCTGACTTACCAGGTGGAGATCTTCCGCACTTAATAAATGACTTTTAATTAATTATACGTGTTCGTGTGACTTTTGAAAGGTAATTTATACAAGAATTATAATAAACTTACTAAATGCTGTTAGTTTACGTACCGTAAACGATCTAACAAACGCCCACTCTCAAATAAACGCCTCTCATCTAATAAACGCCTCCTTTACGCTGTTAAGCTAGTATTAAACGCCCCTCTCTAATAAACGCCCCCCTTGAAAATTGCCCCCAAATACTAGGAAATGGCGAAATAGAGCAAAATCAATCAACTCATTAATTTCATTGCTTGATTAACATCATTTTGTATATCATGTCATGTTCAATTTCTGGATAAGCCGTCAGGCCCGCAGTCGAGATTCTGTTAACACAAAAACTTTTTTAGCCGAAAGCATACCGTATACAGTTATGTTGAGTTCGTTAAAATAAGTTACGAGAATAAACGCCTCTCTCTTTTAAACGCCTCCCATCTATTAAACGCCTCCTCTTGGACCCCTAAAATTACATAAACGCCCCGGGCGTTTATTAAATTATTTACGGTATACACATAACAGGAAATTAATTGACCAGCTTTTAGTCGTTTTTGATCGTCGAAAAATTACCACACCGGTATAATTTTTAGAACCAAAAGTAGGTTGAGTTTGATCGTCCGGGTGAACGTAGTCCTGAAGAGGACTGTTTTTGTTGACAGTGACTGACGTTTCGACAACCTGTGCAGTAGTCATCTCCAGAGTCAAGGTGAGTTGTATGACGTCAGTTGATGGTAGTATACTCTGGTTATTAAATCATTCTTAACGATCGGTCGAACTTCTTTCCGGCATTTTCCAATCGAAAACGACTGTATTTAACGATGAATTGAGCAGCACTTGAACTGTTGTAAGTTGTATGGCTCCCTTTATCGCTGCATTCGGCTGAGGAATCACTAGCAAAACAGTTACAGTGATTAGGTACGGACAATAACATAACAAGAATACAAGATAAACCAAATATACGAAACCAAGTTTAAATTTTGTTTGTTTGGACAGTGTCACGATACTGCGCATGTGTCAGTTATGACAGGAGCTGGTTGTTTTTAAACCAATCGGAGCCGAATTGCAGGCACTTAAGGACATTTACATAATTCAAATTCATCGTTCGCGACGTGGGAGTCTTCCGGACGTTTAGTTCCATATTATGTATCCCCGTAATTTATATCTATTCTCTTCTGTTCCTTAGATATATGGTGCAGCCGATAAGAAAAAGATTTACAACCCTGTCCTGCTTTGAAACAAGCCGCATTTTATTATTTTACCTGCGTGTATTTCTACGTACCCACACTGGCAAACCAGCCTCTGATCAGAAAACAAAATTTGCAAAGTTAACAAACCTTTTACTGATCGCTCTGTTCCGGGCTCTGTTTACCTTATGTAAAGTTAGAAATATCTGCAAATAGCACCTTACCGGTGACCAAAGCACACAACATCAAATGAGGCAAATTTTTTGCTAAAAATGCCAGCTTAATGCTCACCAAGAGAGGATAAAGGGAACAGAGAAGGCATCCCCCATACACACCCTATTCCATAGGTAATTCGTCTCGAGTTATTTTTAAGACCACAGATCCTAAGGGGGATTAGACAACAGCCAATCACATAGCGCAAATGTGTTCCGCGTGGATGAACCACGCTCAGAGTCACGCGTCCTTCACGAATTGATGCAGAAAAAAATGGCGGAAGACGCGGAGAGCGATATTGCTATTCGCTTTGTCGACGAAAACGACTAAAGAGAGATTTCTGCTAAAGCTGTGTCAGCGAAACGGACCTTAAGAAAGAATCGCCCTTCCTCTCTTGTATAGAGCTAACAGTACAGCAGGGAAATCCTTAACACACTGAATATTCTCTCAGGATCATTTATAATTTTATAATTTACAGTTTGAAGAGAGCAATTTCTGGTTTGATATTTATTCTTTTATTAGTCTTTTATTATTCAAAAAAAATAACGCGTGGCGTCCTACTTGCTTTATTGTACAAACGACCGGTTTCAACAGACCGGTGAAATTTCTCATTTTATTAAACCACTGAGGTTACGACAACTTCTGGTTAAACTGATTTCACGGGTTGTCAAAGAGTCCAGCGATTCCCTTTTCCCAGGTGAGCGCCGACTCATTTCGCTTCAATATTCAGGAATGCTCTCGATCTCTTAACGCTTTCATTGCCTTTCGCCCGACATGTTTTGCACGGCGTTTAGTCTTGCGAAACCTCCACGACACATCCACGCAGCAAACGAGGTAACTTTATCCCGATTCTAAAAATAACTCGAGACGAAGGGTGTGTATGGGGGATGCCTTCTCTGTCCCCTTTATCCTCTCTTGTGCTCACTATAAATAAGCTATGCTATTACCCTGCTCCAGGCGTTCAGATAGTAGAGCGCGGCGGTAAGTGGGGGGCGAGTTAAGTTGTACACCGCGAAAATGGGGGGGGGGGCACCGTTCTCTCCCCCTTTCCCCCTCTAATCTTCCCTAGTTTTTTTTTTCTTAGTGAATTTTTCTCCCGGGCTCTACTATCTGAACGCCTGGAAAAGGCTACTATGCTATCGGCTAGCGGGATGAACAGTCTCCATGAACACTGCCGCTTAGCAGATACCAGCTGAAAATCGCAGTGTTTGAAAGGAATTTTTAATAGACTTCATCACTGAAATGCTCTCATTGCAATAGTAGCTACATAACGTGTAAGTATAAAGATTATCCTAAAAGAAAATCGCAAGATTGTCAATTGCTTTATATCACCAAATGAACAAATTCCTTCGCGTTGGGCCGGGTGCTCCTCAAAACAAATGTTATCGACTAGACCCGGCGTAACCACTCGAACTGTTCGGTAATCGAACACAATCGAATCAAAGAAATTTGCGTCAGAGTTCGATTCAAGTTCGTTTTCCAAACTCAATTGAACCAATCGATCTCATGATCGAACGTTCTAAAACAACACTCAAAATCGTCAAGGACTTTGAAAAGTCCTTTTAGTGTGCAAAGAATCAGGAAAGCAGCAAAGAAATCACCGGTAAATCAGCAAAGAACCAAAAAACAATCCGGTGAAGCGAACAGTAGATTGACTGTACAAAGGTGGAGACGTTCTGAACGCGCTGGTGCGATTGACGATGATTACCTACAAAGGACACTGTATAATTGAAAAAACTTTAACGAAGCATAATATTCACACTCACCCCGTCAAAAACACTGGATACTGTAGCTTCAAAGCCAACGACATCTAAGGGCTTTTAAGAAAATTAAATCCAGACGAGGCTACTGGTCCTGGTGGAATTCCCACTAAGGTCCTGGGAGAGCAGCGCCGAATTAGCCAGACCTCTTAGCTGTTTGTTTGAGTTACTCACACGGAGTTGGGCTGACAAGTGGAAAGTGACATTCGAGCCATCGAAGTGCAAGGCCATGACTATCTAGATCTCTAGATCATAGAAAGCGGAATCCAAAAAGGCGTGACCTGTTCTTCGGTAGTACCAAACTGGCAGAAAAGAACGATTCAGAAATTTTGGGCGTCACTGATGATTGCAAGCTCACCTGGACCAAGCACGTTTCTAACATTGCTGCCACAGGGGGGTACTGCCATATATGGGCTATATAGGTATGTGCCGCTGTGAAGAGTATGGTTTTCAAGCAGTTTACTCTAGGATAGGGTATATAAATCGGAACGTTTAGGTCTAGAATAGGATATCATTTTTCAGGAAACTGATCAGTTGGTTGAAGATGTTATCTAGACTAGGGATTGTGATATAAGGTTTTGTTTTGGCTAGACTACTGTGCTAGTGACCTCAGTAGTTTCTGGAAAACAGCTACTCTAGGATAGGGGGGATTTAGGGAGTTTACTTTAGTATAGGGTAGAAAAATTCAGCTGAACTAGCTCTGGTATAGGTTAAGGGTTCCAGGGTCCCAGCCGCACCTCCCCACCCAGAAATTCCTAAAGTACTCCCCCGGGCATCGCTGCAAGAGCGGGGCAGAAGCTTGGAGCTACGCAAGGTAGCTCACAAACTGACTAGAGAAGGAAGAGCCACTGTCTACAGGGGCCAGATGACTTGTTACAGCCATCCGAATTTATCGATGTGTGTACACCCTCATCCGGAAAAATTAATGAATCCGGAAAAATCACCATTAGTGTAAACCAAGGGTAAGGCAACAAGCTAGTAGTATCTCACTCCTCACAGGTTTTTATTTACAAATGAGTGATTTTTATACCACTGTTCGCGGCATTGTTTTTCCGAGAGTAGCTCCCGTAATCGTGCCCCTACTTCGTCAAGTGCGAACACAGGCCGAGGTGTAAAAAACGCTTTACTTTATACCATCCAGTTCGTTATTTACGTGCTATTTTGAAGATCCGGTCCAACCATGAACCGACATTGGGTGTATGTGGAAAAACCAAATGGCGTTGCTTTAGAAAAAAAATATTTCAAAAACGAAAGCAGAGTCAGATGAATTATGGCAAAATAATTATCTTCTATTTATTTGCTTTTTTGTTATTATTCACTTGTTTATTTATTTATTTTTTATTTGAGATTTTTTTTCACCAGGTAAGCACGTGCATACCGTGCTTACTTTGTTTTTTGCGGGCCAAGCTGGATGAGCGCGTTGAATTGTGATCACAGGCGCCCCAGACGTAGTGTGTGTCAATAACATGGACAAAAGGGGATGAGTCGTCCAATCTCCCATGAACTAAAATAGCCCAGACTTCAAAATATGACAAAAAAAAGCTAACATGCCTTTAAATGAAAGTCTCCTTGTCTTTCCTGGCCGGTTAAAGAGGTCGTTAAAGTGACATTTTGTCGAGTTTTGCACGCGAAGGAACTGTCCAACAACATAGCAATAACCGCAAAAATTTAACATGATGTGCTATCGAAATTCTGCACGACTGAACATCCCTACGTGGTGGATCCTGAATTTGCTAATTCGCTAAGGAAC